CGGATGGCCGCCCCCCCTCTCGGATGGCCGCCCCCCTCCCTCCTCTCGGACGTCAGGACTCTGCAGCTGTCAGGATGTAGGCGGGGCAGCGTGACGAACTCCTCTCACAGTCCTCCCTGAAGACCAGAACGGCGCGGGAATACGAGAGGAACGCGCGGACCAAAGGTAAGTGAATTGACACAGGGGGGGGACTTACTATATGGGGATGAATTACTATATGGGGGACTTACTATATGGGGAATGAATTACTATATGGAGGACTTACTATATGGGGAATGAATTACTATATGGGGGACTTACTATATGGGGAATGAATTACTATATGGAGGACTTACTATATGGGGAATGAATTACTATATGGGGGACTTACTATATGGGGAATGAATTACTATATGGAGGACTTACTATATGGGGAATGAATTACTATATGGAGGACTTACTATATGGGGAATGAATTACTATATGGAGGACTTACTATATGGGGAATGAATTACTATATGGGGGACTTACTATATGGGGAATGAATTACTATATGGAGGACTTACTATATGGGAATGAATTACTATATGGGGGACTTACTATATGGGGGATGAATTACTATATGGGGGATGAATTACTATGTGGGGGATGAATTACTATATGGGGGATGAATTACTATGGGGGATGAATTACTATGGGGGATGAATTACTATAGGGGGGATGAATTACTATGGGGGACGAATTACTATATGGGGGACGAATTACTATATGGGAGACGAATTACTATATGGGGGACGAATTACTATATGGGGGATGAATTACTATGGGGGATGAATTACTATATGGGGGATGAATTACTATGGGGGATGAATTACTATATGGGGGATTAATTACTATATGGGGGATTAATTACTATGGGGGATTAATTACTATGCTTACTATGGGGGAATATTACTATACTTACTATGGATGACACATACACATCATTCATCTACTCTTGGTCCGGCCCCCGGGTCCAATATATGAACCCATTGCGGCCCTCAAGTCAAAAAGTTTGCCCACCCCTGGTCTATTCTGTTCTAATCCATTCTATTTTTTTATTTTCTATTCTATTCTTTTTGAATTTGAATTCGATTCGAGTCAAATTTGAATTTCATCCAAAATTTGTTTAGTTATTTTGGATTCGTTACTATTGTAATTCGGACATTTGGAGACATCCGATTGTCCGATAAATGATAAAATTCATCCGAATTCAAATTTGGAATTAAACAAACTGCACATTTCTATAGAAAACCAAAATAAGGTAAAAATCAAGGTGTTAGCCCAACAACCAGTAACATTTCTATGACTCTGGAAACCATCTCCACTCTTTCAGTATTCTTACTTTTCTCTAGGTTTCTTAGATCACCAGGGGTTATATTTTTGAGAACTGGCCCTTAAAGTGGAACAATACTCCCCTCAGCTCTAGTTATGCAGTGTCCCTGATATCCCCACCCGGGAGGCTGGCTTCCAGGTTTCTATTGCTGGCCACAGTCATTGGCTGGGTGGGGTTGACACCTGACTCCTGCAGATGCGCAGGAGTTTAGTCGGATTCGGCATTGCTGTAGGTGCACATCTCACCAGGGGCGGACTGACAATAGGGGATCATGGGGCCCCTGTGCCCTTGCCCAAACTCAAAAAAGCCTATGAAAAAGGTACCAGGGGCATCTCATGGGGCCCCCTACTGACCCCGGGCCCTCAGGCAGTGCTGAGTTTCCAAATGGTCAGTCCGCCCCTGCAACTCACTGTACAAGGGCAGGCAGCCAGGTAAGTACACTAGCTTTAATGCAACATAGACAAGGCATTAAAAATCCTGCCTGTCCACCAATTTTATTTCACTAGCCTAAAGGTCCACTTTAACAGAGATACTCCTAAAGTAGAACTAAAGGCAAAACAGTTTTTTACATTTTGGAGGGTTAGATTTTTGTCATCTGTGTCCCATTGGGAAGATTTTTCTTTACTTCCTGTCCCATAGCCAAAGTTTTGTCTTTAGTTATACTATGAGAGCGAGTGAAGCTCTTGTCCTTCACAGCCAATCATTATCCTTGTTTCTATTCCCCACTGAAGAAAACATCACTGGTTACTTTACAAAGCAGCGTAAAGTGGAACTTCACTCTCATAATCAACATTAACTATTTTTAATTCTTATGCTGCTAGCATTAGTAAATAGATAGGAAGGTATATCATATTTACTTGTTTTAAGCTTTTTTCCGCCCCTGCCCGGAATGTTTGCAGGGGCGGACTGACCATTTGGAAACTCGAGCACTGCCCGAAGGCCCGGGGTCAGTAAGGGGCCCCATGAGATGCCCCTGGTACCTTTTCGTAGGCTTTTTTGAGTTTGGGCAAGGACACAGGGGCCCCATGATCCCCTGTTGCCCGGGGGCCCCATGAATTGTCAGTCCGCCCCTGATCCCGGGTGTGATAAAATTTGAAACACGAAATCATAAATTATAATATAATAAATAACATTAAAAAAATAATAATATAATAAAAATTCATTTAATTCAATAATATAATCAAACCAAAAACATTGAAATTTGAAATAGAGCACCAAGTTTGCACATCACTGGGCTTACTCGCAAAATCTTTTTTCAGTGTCTGATTTCTCCACGAATCATCACTCAATTCTGCAAGTGGTTCTGATCTACAATCGCTGTTCTCTAGCTGGTCTAAAACCGCTTTTGACCTAAAGGGACGCTTTTTGAACGCCATGGACTTTTCTCAGTTTCTAGGCAGAAAAAAACAGTAAAAATGCAGGCAGGGCACAGGACATAGCACTCGGGACAAAATGTATGTGAAATTGTTTGATACAGTAATGTTTTACTATGTGATTGTACGTCCCGACGCTCGCAGGGAACGGAACCCGGAAGACGGATGCCGTCATAGGCCGGAGGAGATGGACAGGGACACTGCAGGGGGGACACCGCAGGAGCAAAGGACAAGGTAAGTGCAAGAGGGATCCCAGAGCAACGCTGCAGGGTAATCCTGAGTGTAGCTGAGGCTTACCGCTTTTGGAACTGAAAGTTAATCCCGAGCTACACTCAGGAATACCGCCAGGGAGGTTAAAAATAATTAAAACCATTTACTGACTGCCCTTGTATATATACTCTTCTGCATCAGATCACTTACATGTATCACTTGATTTGCCACATTTGCCACACAAGCTGATCAGCAGATCCTGGCCAATGATTTATGGCCAGGAACCGCTGATTGGCAAAATGAATGATAAAAGAGAGCCCTGTGTTTGTAAACAACACAGGGCTCTTTATGAATCTAGCGATATGGCTGTTGGTGCTAGTTCCCATAAAGTGTCAGTTAGTGTCCGACTATTGGGGACGTGTCGGGGAGGAGTGCCTAATGCTGATGTCATGTCACTGCACGATCCCAGGTCTGCAGCAGTTGCATATGTAAGCAATACTTGTCTGTCCTGTATGGAGTGTTTTTATACTTACTTTACTAAATACTACACTATTGGAGATATGTTTGGCTCCTGGGGAGCTTTATTTATCACAGCCCTGGTTCTATTGTGAGGTGCATGTGGATGCAGTAACTGGCAGCATTACATTTACTTTGGTTGTTTGTGGATTTGACATATGGGTGTTAATACAGTTGTAATGGCAGCCAACGTTTCCGATGAGTTTTAAATTCACAGGGAGGCAGTGGTGGACCTCTGAACACATTATATGAAGAGTTATCACATTTGTTAAAGGTGGTGGACTGTTTTCTTTAAGACTTTCTCTGGTTTTCAACTTATATGAACTGAGTTTTATTTCAATATTGTGACACATTTCTATTCAATATATTATTATTCAGATTTTATTAATTTAGGTGGTACTGCACTTTTATGTTTCTCTAAAGTAGTGCAGTGCTGAATAGCAAAAAATGGCCTGGTCATGAAGGGGGTAAAATATTCCGGAACTTAAATGGTTAAAAATTTTTTGGTTTGTGGTGCTCAGATGCAGTGTTGTTTCTCTTTATCTCGTTTTCTTTTTTTAAAGTTACCCAGAGTGGCTAATTTATGAAAGTTGAATCATAGAATGCTTAAGTTTTTTTTTTGCTTGTAGCAACTAAAGCAGCTTTGTTTAAGCAGAGTTCTCTCTCCCTCTTGCACTCTGGTTTCTAGATACCATTATGGCAATTGTCTTGACTGTGCAAAGTTGCCACCACAACATGCCTCTCTGCAAAGCAATGTGCTCCAATCTTCATAAGCTTTGTGAACTGAGATGGAGAGACAGCTCCTCCTCTATAAAGTATGTTCACTGCAGATGACTTATTGCTCTTAAAGTATAACTAAAGGTAAAACTTTTTTTTGCTTTGGATACAGTGGAGAGGGGTTAGAACACCTGCTAGGTTTGTATTGCTGTCTGTGCCCCTGTTGGGGCAATTCACCCTCTCTATTAGTTCTCTTTACCATATCAACGAAAGTGAAAGTAAAAGAAAATGCCAAATTTTGGGTTGTCTGCAGAACGGGAATAATGGTCCATATCCCAGCTCACCTGCGATGGTGATCAGTTCTAGTAAACGCAACCCCACCGCCCCTCCTCTCCTCTCTTTTTGCTGCCTGGGTTTCCCCTGTCCTTTCTCTTCCCCGCAGAGTTGCTGGCTTCCCTCTCTTACCTCTCCTGCCAGCTGAATTGGGGATGAGTCTGGATGGAGATCAGAGGAAGGGGCTAGTAAATATGTCATTTATCAGCCCCTTCCTTTTCTGAATAAACAGTGTGAGTAATTAGTACTGATCACTTATTCTGTTCATTAATAACTGAAGCATAGTAAAGACTCGCTTCTTGGCTCATTTCTTTTTTCCTGGTGGCGCCCCTCCTAATCTGCTTCAAGTGAGGCTTGAAATCACTATTACCGAAACTTTGAAATGACTAATATATACACTACATTGGCAAAAGTATTGGGACACCCCTTCAAATCGTTGGATTCAGGTGTTCCAATCACCAACATGGCCACAGGTGTATAAAATCAAGCACCTAGGCATGCAGACTGCTTCTACAAACATTTGTGAAAGAATAGGTCGCCCTCAGAGCTCAGTGAATTCAAGTATGGTACTGTGATAGGTTGCCACCTGTGCAATAAGTCCATCCATGAAATTTCCTTGCTAATAAATATTCCACGGTCAACTGTTAGTGGTATTATAACAAAGTGGAAGCAACTGGGAACATCAGCAACTCAGCCACAAAGTGGTAGGCCACGTAAAATGACAGAGCAGGGTCAGCGCATGCTGAAGCACAATGTGCAAAAGTCGCCAGTCTGTCTGCATAGTCAATAACTAAAGACCTCTAAACTTCGTGTGGGCTTCTGATTAGCACAACAACAGAGCATAGAGAGCTTCATGGAAAGGGGTTTCCATGGCCGAGCAGCTGCATCCAAGCCTTACATCACCAAGTGTAATGCAAAGCGTCAGATGCAGTGGTGTAAAGAAAGCTACCATTGGACTCTAGAGCAGTGGAGACATGTTTTCTGGAGTGACACGTGTTTTTTGGAGTCACACTTCTCTGTCTGGCAATCCGATGGAAATGTCTGGGTTTGGTGGTTGCCAGGAGAACGGTACTTACCTGACTGCATTGTGCCAAGTGTAAAAATTGGTAGAGGGGGGATTATGGTGTGGGATTGTTTTTCAGGAGTTGGGCTTAGCCCCTTAGTTCTATTGAAGGGAACTCCTAAAGCATCAGAATAACAAGACATTTTGGACAATTTCATGCTCCCAACTTTGTGGGAACAGTTTGGGGATGGCCCCTTCCTGTTCCAACATGACTGCGCACCAGTGCACAAAGCAAGGTCCATAAAGACATGAATGAGGGAGTTTGAGGTGGAGGAACTTGACTGGCCTACACAGAGTCCTGACCTCAACCCAATAGAACATCTTTGGGATGAATTAGAGCGCTGATTGAGAGCCGGGCCTTCTCATCTGACATCAGTGCCTGACCTCACAAATGCGCTTCTGGAAGAACGGTCAAACATTCCCATAGACACACCTCCTAAACCTTGTGGACAGCCTTCCCAGAACAGTTAAAGATGTTATAGCTACAAAGGGTGGGCCAACTCAATATTGAACCCTACGGATTAAGACTGCCATTAAAGTTTATGTGAATGTAAAGGCAGGTGTCCCAATACAATAAGTTTGGCAAAATAGTATATATATATGTATATATATATATATTTGTCCAAAACATGTACACCAAACCATTTGAGCCAGAGTTATCTTTTGTGAAAACTGCACATCAGAGCATTCAGTAGATCCAGAGATATAGGCAGCTGAACTTATATGCAAATCTTGACTTTTCCTGTAAAAGTCAAGCTTGACCTGCAATTACCCTAAGATGTGGGACCAAGCCTGTTTTACAGGAGAAGTAACTTCAGCTGCCTAAACTTATGGATCTAATAATTGTTTTGAGATACACTTATTGCTGATTGCAAACTCTGACAAATAATAAAGTGACTGTATCCCACGCCTCTATTAGCAAATATACTAGTTCAATGTGTGTACTATTTTTTAATACACCATAAAATATATGTGCTAAAAGGGAGTAGCTGCTAGTAATGTAATTGTGTTCCCACAACCAATGCAAATAAGTGAAAAAAAGAGGGGTATATTGCTGCGCCTCCCACTCAGTATATCAGACCAATATACAAATGTTTACGAATAATAAACCACAAAGAATAAATGAATAAATAAATAAAAAGTCCATATATCAGTAACAGTAAATAAATATTAAATAACAATTAGTTTAAAGTGTCCATGTATATGCCGTGAATTTTTTTCTCCAATTGCCATACAGTATATTACTGTATTCCTCCTCTTGTGATCCTTCACACCAACATACATGATGATACCCACCACCATTTACCACTGCGCTCACCTCCAAGATTGAACCTGTATATTTACAGATCTCAAAGCCTTTCCTTTTATTTGGGATTCCTCTCAGTATCCAGTATCTTTCCTTCCAGTGCAGCCTCAGGCATTTATTCATAAGATATGCCATACAGACAGCGAGGCCGCGATTTCGCTAACTCCTGGCTCCACCTAGACGCGTGTCGTCACGTCATGTGACTTCTTCAGTAGGATTGCTCCCGATGTCTGTATGACATGTCTGTACTTTTTCTTATTTTGTAAGTGCATTTTTAATAATAAATTATATCTTTATGCATACATACTTCACTATGGAACATTCTTTGCTTTATGAAAGCACAATATAGAAGATGATGGGATCATGATTTAAACGGCCCGATCACAACTTATTGGAACTTATGCACTTTGTATTTGAGTACCTTATGAATAAATACCTGAGGCTGCACTGGAAGGAGAAATACTGAGAGGAGTCCCAAATAAGGGGAAAGGTGTTTGAGACCTGTAAATATACAGGTCCAATCTTGAAGGTGAAATCAGTGGTGAATGGGGGTGGGTATCACCACGTATGTTGGTGTGGAGGATCACAAGAAGTGGAATACAGTGATATACTGTATGGCAATCAGAGAAGAAATTCACAGCATATGCATGGACACTTTACACTAATTGTTATTTAATATTTATTCACTGTTAGTGATATATGGACGTTTCCTTTATTTATTTATTCTTTGTGGTTTATTATGCATAAAAATGTGTATATTGGTTTGATATATTGAGTGGGAGGCGCAGCAATATACCCTATATAATATACTTGATTGCAAACTCTGCTTTGTTTCACATACACAGTTTGATTTTCCCAGGTTTGTTACAGGTTTACTTTAAAGAGAATGTATATTTCTTTTCAAACCAATATGCTGTTTGAAGCAAACAATTATATATTAGATTCTCAAAAGTATAACAAATCACACAATAACTATAAAATGCAGCTTACATTTGTGTGTATGGTGTGTAGTGGTGTTTTTCCATGAGCTCCTTACAAATGTATTCATTACTGAGATTTGTCTAAGTTACTTTTCATATCTGGCTCTATGGAACCAGCAGGACACCCACTGTGATACAAGGAAAACAGTTTTACCACGAGCATAGAAAAGGATGTTTTTAAGTGTTATACGAGTTCAGAATTCCAAACCAAGAGAGCTGTTGGTAGATTTGCTCTCTGTGAGCTCATGTTGTCAGTAAGTAAAGGTGAATGATATAGTTTATTAGAATGATGCATGCTGGCTCATAGACAGGGATGACCGGGGTAACCAGGACCTTACTCGATAGCTTGGATATAATGCACTAAGGGTAATCTGTTTACATCTTTTATTGGTAAAAATGACAGAAACCAAGGTTGTCCTTAGCTGAACTCCAGGCGCTCCTAATTGGATATAAGAATTTGTACACTTACCTTAAAGTGGAACTATACTCACATCCCCCCAGTAATGCGACACCCAAGAGCTCCTTTGCTGGCACAGACATCCTCACCTGTGTTTCTTTTAGGTTCAGGATCTTTGCCATCTGGAATGGCCATCCGGGATGAGCATTTATTGGAGCTCATTCATCCCAACATTGTCCTGAAATTATAACTCTTAGTGCAAATAAAAAAGTATCAAGGACATTGCTTAAAGAAAACAAAATAAAAGGTGAAGTTACACAATCCACCATCCACCCCCTGGTTTCCACTGTTCTTTCTTCAGCACTTCCAGGACAAATCAAAGTGATTCTGATTGGTCAGCTCCGGCACACAGCATCACTCTGATCCATCCTTGAAGTGCTGCAGAAAGCAGTGCGAGAAGAACGGGATTTCAACACCCCTGACCTCTGCACCGACTGCGTGGGCACTAACAGCTCATCACCCACGGAGGTAAGTACAGGATGGACCAAGGGCTAGGGAGGGTGTATGGTGTAGGTTCACATTCTCATTTTTTCGGGAAAGGTGAACTAACTCTTTTGTTACAATTACTTCACCAAAAAAAAAAAAAATCAAAATGCCTTTTTTTCCCTTACTGTGCATTGAATTTGGTAAAGCAAAACATTTTCCACACTTTTTTACAAGAATTAATAAAATGCCTGCTAGCGATGGCTTGTAAGCAAGTTTCAGAAGAGCATGTGCATGCACAATTTCCATAGTAGGATTGACCAGACTTATGCACCTTAGAAGTAACGTGGGATTTGGCTGAGAGCTTACATTGTACAAGATGTACATATGCGCAATCAAAGTGTATGGCATCATAAATATTGCTGTTTTAAAATGAACTAGATGTGACTTTAAGGTGCTTTCCCGCAGCCCTATAGCAGAAATACTGCTACAGGGCGGCAGGGGTGCAGAAAATCACGTATATATGTGTGATTTTGCATTTCCCGGTAGGGGGCCCGTGCAAGCCATGCACGTGCCCTACCTGCACCGCCATTTGCGGCCTTGGCTGTCAATCACCGGGTCCCAGCTGGTGATTACTTGCTGGCACCCAGTGATCGCCAACTATTATTGACGTGGGAGAGAATTGTATGTAAACAATACAGTTATCTCCCCTGTCAGCTCCTGCACACTACTTTGTATGGCCCATACAAAGAAGTGTGCTTACAGTGGAAAGCACACACACAGCCTCATAGTAAAACACACACAGCACACAGTTAACCCTTTCATCGCCCCAGATATTAACCCCTTCTTGTCCAGTGTCATTAGTACAGTGTCAGTGCTTTTTATTAGCAGTAATCACTGTATTGGTGTCACTGGGGATGTCAGTGACACCAAGTGAGTTCCTCCCAGTGTCAGAATGCCCACTCCAGTCCCGTCCCACTATAAGTTGCTGATCGCCGCCATTACTAGTAAAAAAAAAATAAATCCCAGTATATATACCGCCATTTGTAAACGCTATAACTTTTACGTAAACCAATTAATTTACTTGTATTGGGAATTTTTTTCAACAAAAACATATAGCAGAATACATTTTGCCCTAAATTTATGATGAAATTTGATTTTTTTTATTTATTTTATTGGACATGTTTAATAGCAAAGATTAAAAATTATTGTTTTTTTCTCAAAATTGTAAAAATAAAAAACGCAGAGGTGATCAAATACCACCAAAAGAAAGCTCTATTTGTGGGAAAAAAAGGATGTAAATTTAATTTGGGTGCAGAATTGCATGAACGCGCAATTGTCAGTTAAAGTAACGCAGCACCAGGGGCGTGGCCAGGATGTGCAGGCTCAGAGCTCCGGGATCATCCGTCTGTTTCATCCTGCTGTGTGGGTTCCAATGGGGTCTGGTCAGCATATACAGACACCCCTGCCTCTCCTGACCACCCAGAGCTGCTTTCTGTGGCATCCAAAAGTAGGGGATGACCTCCCAGTGACTCGAGGCCGCAGCGGCAGCTCCAGGGGCAGGCCACATGTTTGGCCGGCGCCATCTTGTACCCTCCCTCTACAGGGCTTGCCACAGATGGATAGTGCGGCCTCCCCTCCACAGCCCACGGTCCCCTCTCTTTTGGTATCTGCTCCCACTTCACCCGAGGAGCTGATCCATGGGTCAGAGGCGATTACCAAGCCAATTCTGG